AAAGGCTTAGGAGAAAACTGAGCGTAAATGTCTTCATGTTTCCTTCTTGAAGTCAACTTGTGTCTCCCACCTGGAGGGAGCTGTTATATAGGACTTTGATCGGTGTGTTGAGCAACTTTTCTGAGTGACTCCTTCTCCTTTTATGGGTAAGACAGGAAGTTTGTTCCTGCTTGTTCATCTGACACAGAATTTCCCCAAAACAAGACACTATAATTATGACACTGTCTCTGTATTGTTGTTTCATGAGGAGATTTTGCCTTTATTGTAAAAAAAAAAAAGTAAATAATACCTGGAGAGTTTTTGAACTGCTCCTGGCATATTTTACAGTAATGTTAAATGATTAACAAAAACTATGTATTTAGATTAATTAGTATTATTCTATCAGAAAGAAATTATAAACTGTATATTATAAACTCATAACATTTTTTAGATTATCCGTTTATAGGATTTAAATTAGTCCAAAAAATCAGAATAAACTTTTGCTTTAATAAAATAAACAACAATTGAGTAAAAAACTGTGAGGTGACTATGTAAGGCAGATTTCCCTTTAAAAGCCAGAGAAGACACAGAGGTCAGACAGGACATGCCTTTAAAGCCAGAACCAGGAAATAACTGAAAGAAACTTCTAATGATTAAATTAGAGTTGTCATTGAACCTTCTGACAAATGAAATAAAAAAGATATATATTTTTTTAAGTTAAAATAAATCATTCATTTACATTAGTTTTTATATATTAGGCATATCTGTATAATCCTTTATATGTTTTCTGTTCACTAAATGTGTCTGATTTACACCAGGTTTTTTCTCCAACACAATTTACATTTGACCACTGCTGAACTTTAATGAATGGCTTTAAAGGGTTAAAGAGTAGAGAAGGTTAAAAACAAATATATAAATGATATAATTGTTTGATTTTTATCCTTCCATATTCCTCTGGCAGCTGAAATGAACTTCTAGAGTGAAAACCAGGAGGGACACCGTATGAACATACCCCAGATCCATTATGGAGGAGTCCACGTCTTTCCCAGATCAGATGGAGGACTTGTGGAATCCCTCCATCCCATTCTGGATCTTTCTCCTAAATGTGAGATGTCTCTTACAGGAAGGTGTTTATAGGTGAGACGGATTGTTTTGAAGCTCAGCTTCCTAAATTATTGCAATGAGGTCCATCTCCTTTCTGCTACCTTGAAAAGGACCCAAAATGAGCAAAGATCTGACCCTCTAAACGCAGAAAATCTCCTCTGGTAAATACGCCATGAGATCCAGATGCATGATCAGGAAAAAGAGGCATCCTAGCGGTGACAGTCTGACATTGGGAGAAGCTCTTACACAAACGCTGCTCTCGTTAAACGAGGGCTGGATATTGGTAGGGGTGCAA